GCTGCTGGGCACGGGCTGGGCTCGATTCCTCTCTGTCACTGCTGTCAGGTCTCTGGAGAAGACCAGGTTGGGGTGGGCTGACTCAGGGTCGAAGGTGAGTGGGGCAGGAGCTGTGGAGGCATCGAGCATGGCATTTTACTGGTTACATATTCCCTCCGCAGAGCACCCCCGGCCCCCGCCACCACCCAGCACACCCACCCCTCACACCAATCTGCTCACTGGGGCAGATGGACTGCAGCATCTGTCTCCAGAAGATGTACTGCAAAGGGCCACTGCGGCTGTCCCTGTAGTGCTGCAGGTCGAAGGCATGCTGCGTCTTGACGCGCACCGAGGGCCTGGGGCAGAGAGAGCAGCAGTCAACCCCTCCGCCATGCAGCTAGCAAGGCACGCGGGAAAAGCGCAGTCAGGACTGCGGCATGCTACCGCGTGCGACGGATTTGGTAAAGATAGGACACAAACCTCCCTGGCAGCCGCTTGCTCCCCCCGACGCGGCGCTACCCCCAGCGTGGCAACTGGCTCGGGGCAGAGGTGTTGCGGACTGAGACAGATCCGGCAGCACTGCTCGTGGAGCAGTGACTCGCGGCAGACCAGCACCCAGCACGCCCAAGCAGGATTCCTGCATGGGTGAACAGGCCAGGCCTGCGGAGCCAGGCTGCATCCCACTGCAGCCCCCAGGGAAGGAGGGGACAGGGACACGCTCCCCTGTGGCAGTTCTGGCCCTCAGCTACTCGCAGCCTCAGACAAACCTGCACCTCGAGGTCAGTTTTGCAGCCCCATGAGTTGCAAGAAGCTAAGAAAGGGCAGGGAGTAGCCAAAGCACCCAAAGTCTGTGGCATCAGCCTTGCTCTTGCTTGCAGCATGCATGGGGCTCTTGCACCCATTCCAAACCAGCACGTCTCCTCCACCCTGCTCTTCCAGCACAGCTGTCTCAACACGTGTGCTCCTTGGGGAGAGCATTCCACATGTGCTGGGGACCAGCCCCCACCTAGCGAGCACCAGCAGCTCGCCAAGCAATTTGTGATGCTTTTAAAACTTCAGATAAGATCCCTCCCCCATATGGTCCCAGCCAGGGACAGAGATAAGCTCCTGAAAAGGGAATCAGCTTCTTTCATGCCAGACACCTACCTGATATCCAGGCTCTCCACCTGCAATGAGGAGCAGAGAGAATTAGCAGTCACTGTCTGTAATTCATGCAGCTGCACAAATAAGCTCCCTGTCCTGCCTCCTGCTGTCATGCAGCACAGAGATAGGAAACCAACCTGCCAGGACACCCACCCTGGGGGAAACTGCCTGGGCACTGTGGCCAAGGCAATTTCACAGGGGTGACAAAGAAAGAGGAAGGCTCCTGAGACCCAGCACATCACAGAGATCACCATATCCCTTGTGGCTAAAGCCTTCAGACTCCAAGGGATTGGGTGGATAATCTGGAAGGAGGGCAGTGAGAATGACTTCCAGGTACAGCCTAGTGCTGTCATTTAGGACTCTCCCCATCCCAAATTCAAATCCTGAAACACTCCCTCGGCCTCCTGCCAGGGTCAGCCGAGCATGCTCACCTCCAGCAACGACACCTCTTCCATCCTGCCCAGGGTCTGCTCTATGCGCTCTATGTCCCTCTGCAGCACTGACATCCCCTCCTCCAGCCCGTGCACATCCCCGTGCAGCCGTGCCAGCAACTGCTCTTCCTTTTCGCCCAGCTCTGCCAACACAGCTCTCTCCTCTTCCTCCAGGATCTGATGAAGGCGGGCAAACTCTGCACGGATCTTAAAGTTCAGCTCCCCAGACACCTTCTGAGTAGAGGGAAAAGACAGAAGATGAGTCTGGCAGCTAAAACACACAAGTAGGTGCACGGGATATCTGGGCCCATTAATCTGCTTACAGAGTCCTAGAAATCAGAGAGTCTCAGACATACCCACGACTTTTTGGATAGAGAACAGGACACAAGGACAACTTTCAAGGTTGCAGAGCCAAAGCGGGGGGGGGAAACCAAACCCAAACAAACCAAGCTCTACCAATGGCGGGGTCACCTTAACCAGAAATCCTTGCACACAGCCACAGTGGGAGCCCACAGCCCTCTCCCACGCCACCAGGAATCTGCTTGTGTGCGAGACTGGAGCTCTTTTGCTTTTATAGAGCTGCAGGCTCAGCTGTTCAGTTTAGTTGGGATTTATTTCACATCATGCCAGACCCTGGGCAGAGCTGCCTGACACTGGTCACTTGCTCTTTTTCTCTGATGCCTGCGTCTCTCATGGCTCCTGTTCGTACGGGAGAGGCGGGGAAGCTGCACAAACTAATCTCTGTAGTTAAAGCTGATAAAATCCCATTCAGGTCTTTCCAGAGGTCACTTTTTTCCAGTTGTTTAGTTGGCCAGCCAACCTTGTGGTGTTCTTGCTGCCTTACTGCGTGTTTACAAGAGACAACCAATGACATCTTGTTTTCCCAATCTTTAAGCTTTTAATCTAAGTGCAACCTTAGCCTTCATTATTTTCTTGAGAAGCGCTTCCCGAAATGCACATCCCTTTCCACTAGCAGGAAACCCATCTCCCCCAGAGTACATCTGAAGCTTCACCAGCCGGCCCGGCACCCCAGCCTCCCTTTGCACTAGCAGGTGCTTGTGCTGGCACACCAGAACCACAGAGGATGTGCATGGCCTCCCTGTTCAGATCAGCAATTTCCTCCTTTACTCTTGAAGCACCTCTTAGTCAGCTCTTTCACTTCAACAGGACATCAGCCGCACATGTGTATTTGCTAACACTTTTTCATTAACCTCAAAGGTCTATTCCAAATCTGGCAGCGGAATAGAGGTATGAAACACACTGCAGGCAGGGGAAATCAGAGACTCTGGTCAGAAGGCAGGCTCCCATCAGTTTTATCTCACCTCTGAACTACTTGTGTTTTCCTTAAACCCTCCTTCCTTGGCTCTTAATACTTTTACATCACTCGAGAAGGAAGCACAGTCAGCCTGCGGCTATTCTTGCTTCACTGATCAGTGACGAGGTAGCCAGGTGCCACTCAAGCCTGGAGAGAGCACTCACGCTCCTCACATCACCTCAGAGCTTCGCAGTGAATCCAAACATGGTCCTTGTGACAAGGCCACTGCTCTCTCCAACACCAACATTGCTGCTGACCCAGCTCCTTCAGCTTTGCTGCTGCCCCTTCAGACACACAAGAGGATTTTAGAGCTCAAAGAATTAACCCTCTCCCAAAGTGGCTGCGCTGCAGGGCCAGAACAGGCTGCTCAGCCGACAGCTCTCACCGCTCACCCTGTCTTGGCTCTGCTGCAACAACACACCCTGTAAAAGCTGCATTAATGGGTGCTTAATGCCTCTTCCCAAAGCCTCCACTGAATATTCAATAGCAACGGGCTTTGGCCTGCATGCAGGAGATTACATAATTATTTGTCTAGATTTTTACAGGAAGCCGAGCTAAATCTCGGCTGAAGCGATACACAGATCCTCTACGAACATTAGCCCAGAGGCTGTACAAAAAGCAGCTATCACAGGGCATTACCGTCAGGCCACAGATATCTTCCTGCGTCGCACGCTTCCTCCGCAACAAGTTCTCCATCTCCTTCTGACGAGCTTCCAAAGCATCTTCCAGGTGCTTCTGCAGAAAGGAGGAAAAGAAGGTGAGGAGACCATTTCACTACTCTGCTGTGATTCAGCAGCAATCCCAGTTCCTACGGCCAGCATTAGAGGGAGGCTGCAACAGGATTTCTTACAAAGGCAGCAAGGAGAAGAAAGCACCTAATGCACAGGCTTGAGAACTATGTATGCGTGCACAAAATGAAACAAATTTATTTTTAAGACTGGGAGCTCCAGCCTGGGATATCTGTTTGCAGAAGGTTTAAAACCTGTGTGCTGTGAACTGACGTGTGCAGACACTGGCTGCTCAAGCAGCGCAGCCGGCACGAGCAGCCCTCACCCCGGCTGCGTGGTCCCTACGCGAGAAATAACCAGGCTGCGACGGACATCAGGCACAGCAGTGAGGGAAACAAATGCAAGAAAAGAAAGCATCCAAAAGACAGACAGCTGGAAGGAAACAGGGACAGGGAATGAATCACAGACAGATGTCATTGCACTCAGGCCAGGTGAGGCACACACGGGGCTCCTGGGAGAAGCGGGTGCTGGGCTCTTGCTGCCCGCACAGGGCTCACGCGGCGCCAGTCCCCTTCTCCCCCAGCGGAGCAGAAGCCACTCACCTGCATCTTGTACTGGTGCACTCCCGCACCTTCTCCACCAGCCCCGAGAGCAGGTAGTGGGTGCGGAACGTCCGGCTGGGAAACTCGCGGCGGCACTGGGGGCAGGAGGGGACGTGGGCGCAGCTCTCCCAGTAGCCCTGGATGCAGGCCTTGCAGAAGTGGTGCATGCAGTCCAGCATGACGGGCTCGCTGAAGAGCTCGCAGCAGATGGCACAGGTCAGCTCCTCCCGCAGGCTCCGGTCCTGGCTCCTGCCAGTTTTTTCTGGCACATGGGTCCCACCCTGAGCTTCCTGCCACCACCATCCCAAAATCCCCTTCCTCCTTCTGTCTGGGCTAGAGTGGACTTGCGCCTCTCCTCATGCTGGGCTCTGCTGGGCGCTCTGGGGCAGGATTTGGTTACCAGACCTTGGGCAGGAGGTACAGGACCTACCCAGGTGCTGTACTGGGTGCATCCAGCCCTGGAGAGCTCCCAACGGTGGGAATTACAGAGAAGTACTGGCAAAGCATCAGCCCCTTTGCAGAGTAACAACCTTCTGCTTCCTGCTACTTCAGCAAAACCACTCGGAGGGTCGAACAGGGACTGGCCGTGTGCCCCGACAGGGCCCCGGGGAAAGGGTCACCTGGCTCAGGG